GTCTGTTTGTGCCTTTTGGATGGAAAGGACTCCTATGGTCCTTTTGAAAGAATTATAGGACCAGTTTGACACTTTTTTTAGATAAAGGACCAAAATGGACCTTGGGGTAAACTTAAAGGACCAAAAAGGATATTTTGCCATAAAAAAAACCATCCAAATTGGAAATAAAACAAAATTGACCAATCAGAAATTAAGTGTGACACAAATTGAAATCAAATGGCTCAATAAGAAACACCTACTTAGAAAAGGAAATATTTTTTTTCATATTTATTATAATTTTTTAAAAATACCATTATAAAAATACGAAAATAATATTTAAATAATAAAAAAAGGTTTTTTTTATGATGGAAATAAAATTAGTGATAATAAGCCAAACATATCAAAAATGAACCTAATAAGACTCGAACCCGTGACCTTGTACCTACAGGTTCACTTCTTTACCAATTGTGCTATGCCATTTCATTCAAGATAAAAAGACAATTTAAAACATATGAAAGGTGAGCATGTATTTGCTATTTAAAAATACAAATAATTTGAAATAAATTATTATATTTTTAAATAGTCTTAAAAACAAATAAAACCCAAAATGTTAGTAATACCCAACAAAATTTATGAAACCAAGTTACAATGAGGCGGGCAAATTTGGGGTATGACACTAACATATTAAACTAATGAGTTTTTTTCCCAAATACCCATTACAAGCTAACTTAAACAATTGGACATAACAAACATGCCCAATTCAAAATACTAACAACCCTAGCATTTCGACCCCTACATATTAGAACACACTTCAACTACAGTATATAGGTCTTCGACACCAGCATGTGAACATACTTCGACGGCATGCATGAATCATGTCGAACTAGAAGCTACTCTTCAACCCAATAGAGTTCGATCTAATATCTCACAAATCTCCACCTTGGAGTAAACTCTATCATCAGAGAACAAACTAGATTTCTTCATGCAGCTTTATCAACTGCATACATCTCATCATCCATAGCCTTCAGCCATTTAGTCCTATTTCGACTCCTCATAACTTCCTTATGGTCTTTGGGTTCTTCGTCTAGAACCTCACTTGCAGAGATTAAGGCATAAGTTATCAAATCTACATAGCCAAATATATGAGGTGGATTGATGACTCTTCTCGTCCTATCTCTTTCCAATAGGTAGTCATCGACAGTTTCCTCAACTTCCTCAACATCTTCTGCTTCTTCTTCAACTTTATTTGGGATACGCAATTCAGCATCAACATACTCCACCTCACCAGGAATCTCTCCCTGTTCCAGCTCTTCGTCAGATATTTCTACACTTTGATCAACATCATCAGTTTTCTTTAAAGCCATTTCAGCTTCATTGAAAACTACATCTCGACTGGTGATAATCCTCATATGATCCAGCTCTAGGAACCATAGCCTATGAGCTTTGACTCCTTCAGGGTATCCCATGAACATGCATTTCAAAACTCTAGATTTAAACTTATCTTGCCTAATATGAGCATAGGCTACGCATCCAAATACTCTCAGTTTATCGAGATCTGGTGGATGTCCCGACCAAAATTCTTCAGGTGTCTTCATATCTAACACATTTGGAGGATATTTGTTTATCAGATATATTACTGTCGAAACAACCTCAGCCTAAAACACCTTATTTAACTCAACACTAGTCATCATGCATCTAACTCTTTCCAAGATGGTTCGATTAAACCTTTCAGCCAAATCATTTTGTTATGGAGTACCTGCAGTAGTTATGTGCCTTGTAATACCAGAGGCGGCACAAAAGATGTCGAAAGCCTCATTGAAAAATTCAAGGCCATTGTCAGTTCTCAACCTCTTGACCTTTCTGCCAGACTGATTTTCTACGAGAGTCTTTCAACTTTTAAAATTCTCAAAAGTTTTATCCTTAGTCTTCTGGATGAAGACCCATAACATTATGGAATATCATATACTATGGATAGAAAATACCTTGCTCATGAATATCATGGATACCTTGTAGGCCCCCAAAGATCGGCATGAATGTAATCAAGGGATCCATGTGTTCTTATTTGCCTTTGTTGAACTTCACTCTACAAGATTTTCCCAGTACACATGGTTCACAAAACTTCAGCTTTTCGACTTTGTCTCCACCAAGCAAATTTTGTTTCCCTAATTCGACCAGACCCTTTTCAGTGACATGACCTAATCTCATGTGCCAAATTTTTGTCTTCAACAAAGGTTTCGTGGATGCAACATTTGTCGAACCACTTACAACTTCATCCTCAAGGGCATACAAGTCTCGCTTCTTCACGCCTCTCAAGACTTCCTTCGACCCCTTCATGACTCTTAGAATACTTTTCTCTCCTTGGAAAATATATCCTTTCTTGTTGAATTCACCAAGAGAAATCAAATTTCTCTTCATATCAGGTATATACCTGACTTCAGTCAACAACTTTATTGACTCATCATGGAGCTTGAATCTCACTGATCCAACACCTACAATCTTATAAGCTTTGTTGTTTCCCCGACAATACAAACCCACCTTCTTGATCACATAACACTTCGAACAAGTCTTTGTTTTGAGTCATGTGCCAAGTGCACCCAGAATCCATAATCCACTCCTTCGACGAGTTGGTGCTCGAAACCACAAGAACATCATATGAGTCGAAATACTCTTAAACAATGGATGTATTGCCATTATCCTTATCTATATGATCTTTCAGGCGTTCAAGACACACCTTTCTTTTGTGACCATCCTTCTTACAATGATAGCATCGAATACCAGATACTTCACCACTATAAGACTTATGCTGACTTTTACCTTTCTTCTTGTCGAACTTAACATTCTTTCGCAAGAATTTTCCCTTAACGGCCAAACTTTCACCAACCGTCAAAGGTTTATGCTCCTTTCATTCGATCAAAGCCTTAGAATACAAAGTTGATTAAACTTCTTCAAAGGTCAGGGACTCCCTTCCATACAAGAGAGTTTCTTTGAAGTGAGCATGTGTTCTGGGTAAAGCGCACAATAGCAACAACGTTTGACTTCATCATCGATCTTCACATCAATATTTTCAAGATCAATAATCAACTTGTTAAACTTATCCAACTGCTCAGCCAACACTTTGTCTTCAATCATCTTGAATGAACACAAAGCTTGCTTCAGGTAAAGTCGACTTACCGGCGATTTGATCATGTACAAACTTTCCGGTTTCACCCATAACCTTGATGTCGTCGTCTCCTTTGATATCTGTCGAAGAACCTTATCACCAAGGCTCAACAAGATTGCATTGTGGGATTTCTCTACCATGGTCGTCTTTTCATTTTCTGTTAACGCAAGATCCATAGCCACCACTCCATTCAGCACTTCCAAACAACTCTGCTGAACCAGTAGGGCTTTCATCTTCAAGTGCCACAGACTAAAATCGTTCACTCCGGTGAACTTTTCAATCTCATAGAGGAAAGGAATATAAATGAATAACTCTAAAGTTCAGAGATTCTAGATTTGGACTCAGTTCTAGACGAGGGGAAGGTGTTAGGCACCCCTTATATACCTTGTTCGCAAGGATACTAAGTTTAGAAGCGCGATTTTAGAAAAAAGGGTTTTTAATCTTTTATTAGGGGAAATCGCCACGATTTTTGATCGTATGTCTATGTATCCTCTTAGGAGGAATCAGAGTCCCAATTCGTAGTTTGCAATTTGGTTGGTGTTTTTTATAGGATTGCATAGAATTGCTTTCCAATTATCCTTGAACGTTGTCTGGGTTTAAAAAGTGAGTGATCGTAGATGCAGTTCGCAGTTGGATTCGAAGACAATGCTATTTAATACTTTTTGAAAATGATCTTGAAGTTTTTTGTTATGTTAGTAGAAAAATGGTTTATTGTTGGTTAGCTATTTTAAGACGTAGAACGGGGGAGTCTGATATAGTCTCCTCATCATGTGGCCAGATATCAACCACGTGTTATTCGCGGATGGCGTATTTGGTGAGTTTGCATGGATTTTAATTGTTTGATTTTGAATAATAAACCGGTAGACAATGTTTCAACCAATTTAATTATTCGAAGATGGACATCCTATTATTTATAGAATGTTTGAACTAATATAAAAAGGTGATTTACGTACAAGATTAGTGATTTATGTATGAGAGGGGATTTTGAGTTTTAATTTGGACTAAACTCCTAAATTATTGATAAAATTAAATGAATAATTATAATTACACTTAATTAGTATGAAAACTAAATCGAAAATAAAACAAGTAAATCAAGGACGCAATTAGTATAAAAAGGGGGTGTTGATTAGCAAAAAAAGAGGTGGGACAATTAGCTAACAAATTAGACCTAATAGACTTAAGCTCAAGTTAACAACATCTAAACTTAATTTATAATTTTAATAAATAAATAATAATTTAAAAAAGAATAAAAAATAATGACAAGAAATGTCTAAGAAAAGGAGGAACACCTCATCCTGTTATTAGTAGCTAATAAGAAAGACAGTTCGTTACAATCTTGATCTTTTCTAAGATCTTGGACCGACCACTCATATTTTGACATGTAGCATGGATTAATTAATAAAACAAAATAATAATAATTAACCATAAGTAATATCATCAGGAAAACAAAACAGATCTCAAATTCCTCTTTTCCTTTTCATGTAATACCCTTTCTCTTCTCTCTTTATACTCATCATACTTTTCTTTCGTCTCCTTCGGTTCATTTACAAAAAGAACAACAAAGTGAATTCAAACCTCATAAATTAAATTTGAAGGGATAAAGGATGTTATCGGAGGAGGAACAAAAATAATGGAGAAAACACCATGGAGGTGCTTGCGGCGGCTGCAATCGGAGGGAGGAGCTTCGTCAACAGAGCGTTGCCTTCACGGTGGCGGAGGATTGAAGAGCGTGGTTGGCTGATTATGTGCGGTCTCGTCGATTGATTGTTGTCAGTACAAAGGCGGACTTCGTGGATTAGGCACGGTGGCTGTGGCGAGACAGATTCCACGAGCGGTCGTGATTACAGCGGTGTCGGACACGTCAGGTTGTTATTAATGGTGATGGCCAGATTTGCATCGTAGCGGTTGAATGTGTGGCTTGGTTTGTCTCTCCAGAGAGAAGCTGCTTCGACGTCGGTGTTTCGGAGACAATCAAATTCTTCTTTTTTTCCTGTGAGCAGAATTGACAACAAAAAAAACAACAACAAAGAATAGATTACACAATTTATCAACGAGGGTTCAATTCTTATTTTTTTTCTCTGCATTTTCTGTGTAGGTTTTCCTCTGCTGCAATTGATATTACTGTTTATTATTCTTGTTTTTCTGCAAAAAAGATGAACAAAATTTGTACAGATTGTACTATATGAGATTTGATGTTTTTGAGATTAGAGTTTGTGTAATTGCTACAAAAATTAGTGGTTTTGTAAAAACTTGGTTTTGCATGTGGTGTGAATTTTAAAATATGGTGTTAGTAATTTGTTGATTTAAACTTTTACAAAGCATGTTTTGAAAAATTGTGGAGTGTTACCTTTCAAAATTGATTTTGTATTGGAAAAGAACATAGATGGTGCAAGAGTGATAATTAATATGAAAAAATATGCACAAGATGTAATTGTGAATGAGAGTGAGTAGTAGTATCAGTATGTGATGAATGTTAGAAATACCAAATCTAATATAATAGCAATAAGAATTAGGAATCAAATGATAATTTTCACAAAAATATAACGAACAAGGTAACCATCAAAAATTCATCATAGGATTTAAATAACGAATAAATTAAAATTAAGAAGATAAAATCAAAAATAAGAGGGAGGCCTCATATCAAATCATCGGCCAAAAATATTTTGAAAATAACACCAATAAAATTCTTTAGAAAATTTTTGAAAAGAAACTTGCAAAAGTGACGTGTGAAACTGTGGAATTCGCAGAGATTGTGGATACGTGGATTTGTAGTGAAATTGTGAATTTCTGGATATTGTGAATTTTGGATTGATTCTGGGTGTCATAGAAGTGTGAAAAACATGTCCTATTTATAGATAAAAAAAGGCAAAATACCCTTTTTAGTCCTTTAAGTTTACCCCAAGGTCCATTTTGGTCCTTTATCTAAAAAAAGTGTCAAACTGGTCCTATAATTCTTTCAAAAGGACCACGTTTGTCCTTTCCATCCACTCCGTTAGTCATGTTTAATGGCAGCGCTTATGTGGCATTACCCGTGTGTTTAGAAAAATTGCATGTGGCAATTCCACTTACAAGTCAGTTTGACTCTCATCAGTTTCATTTTGAAACAAAGATCAAAGAACCATCCTTCCTTTCCTTTATATGATGTATCTCCATTATCTTTGCTCCATCAAGCTCATTTTGCAGCTTCTCCAACCTATTATTCTGCTTCTTTATAAACTGATCCTTCTCATCCACCACATCATCAAAGAACCATTGAAAGTATCCACACCCAGATTCAGATGAACCCTGTAATGGTGACATCCAGATTCATCTCAGCTATTGCAGGAACTATCAGAACAAGAATATATGAAAACCCATTTTAATTTCATGCTTACCTTGTAATGACGACAATCCCAGAATTGCTTCCCAAAGTTTGTGACAGTGGTAGCCCTTCGAAGAACCGCAGATTCTCCACAACCACATATAGGTCTCCATCGCAACTTTCCATCTAAGCTTCCATCTCTATTGCAATTGTACGAAGACCGGATCTCTGATGATGCTTCCTTCATCATATTGAGGGAATTTCAAATTCAAAATGGGAAAATTGAGATGCAATGTGTGAACCCTAGAATTTGAGGATTTCTGGAAGCAGCTTGAAGATGGTGTACATAACATTCCATGTCACCTGCCACGCATGCAAACCAAACGTCTGTTTGTGCCTTTTGGACGGAAAGGACTCCTATGGTCCTTTTGAAAGAATTATAGGACCAGTTTGACACTTTTTTTAGATAAAGGACCAAAATGGACCTTGGGGTAAACTTAACGGACCAAAAAGGGTATTTTGCCATAAAAAAAACCATCCAAATTGGAAATAAAACAAAATTGACCAATGAAAAATTAAGTGTGACACAAATTGAAATCAAATGGCCCAATAAGAAACACCTACTTAGAAAAGGAAATATTTTTTTTCATATTTATTATAATTTTTTAAAAATACCATTATAAAAATACGAAAATAATATTTAAATAATAAAAAAAGGTTTTTTTTATGATGGAAATAAAATTAGTGATAATAAGCCAAACATATCAAAAATGAACCTAGTGAGATTCGAACTCGTGATCTTTTATCTACAGGTTCACTTCTTTACCAATTGTGCTATGCCATTTCATTCGAGATAAAAAGACAATTTAAAACATATGAAAGGTGAGCATGTATTTGCTATTTAAAAATACAAATAATTTGAAATAAATTATTATATTTTTAAATAGTCTTAAAAACAAATAAAACCCAAAATGTTAGTAATACCCAACAAAATTTATGAAACCAAGTTACAATGAGGCGGGCAAATTTGGGGTATGACACTAACATACTAAACTAATGAGTTTTTTTCCCAAATACCCATTACAAGCTAACTTAAACAATTGGACATAACAAACATGCCCAATTCAAAATACTAACAACCCTAGCATTTCGACCCCCACATATTAGAACACACTTCAACTACAGTATATAGGTCTTCGACACCAGCATGTGAACATACTTCGACGGCATGCATGAATCATGTCGAACTAGAAGATACTCTTCAACCCAATAGAGTTCGATCTAATATCTCACAAATCTCCACCTTGGAGTAAACTCTATCATCAGAGAACAAACTAGATTTCTTCATGTAGCTTTATCAACTGCATACATCTCATCATCCATAGCCTTCAGCCATTTAATCTTATTTCGACTCCTCATAACTTCCTTATGGTCTCTGGGTTCTTCGTCTAGAACCTCACTTGCAGAGGTTAAGGCATAAGTTATCAGATCTACATAGCCAAATATATGAGGTGGCTTGATGACTCTTCTCGTCCTATCTCTTTCCAATAGGTAGTCATCGACAGTTTCCTCAACTTCCTCAACATCTTCTGCTTCTTCTTCAACTTTATTTAGGATACGCAATTCAGCATCAACATACTCCACCTCAATAGGAATCTCTCCCTGTTCCAGCTCTTCGTCAGATATTTCTGCACTTTGATCAACATCATCAGTTTTCTTTAAAGCCATTTCAGCTTCATTGAAAACTACATCTCGACTGGTGATAATCCTCCTATGACCCAGATCTAGGAACCATAGCCTATGAGCTTTGACTCCTTCAGGGTATCCCTTGAACATGCATTTCAAAACTCTAGATTTGACCTTGTCTTGCCTAATGTGAGCATAGGCTACGCATCCAAATACTCTCAGTTTATCGAGATCTGGTGGATGTCCCGACCAAAATTCTTCAGGTGTCTTCATATCTAACACAGTTGAAGGATATTTGTTTATCAGACATATTACTGTCGAAACAACCTCAGCCTAAAACACCTTATTTAACTCAACACTAGTCATCATGCATCTAACTCTTTCTAAGATGGTTCGATTAAACCTTTCATCCAAATCATTTTGTTGCGGAGTACCTACAGTAGTTATGTGCCTTGTAATACCAGAGGCGGCACAAAAGATGTCGAAAGCGTCATTGAAAAATTCAAGGCCATTGTCGGTTCTCAACCTCTTGACCTTTCTGCCAGACTGATTTTCTACGAGAGTCTTTCAACTTTTAAAATTCTCAAAAGTTTTATCCTTAGTCTTCTGGATGAATACCCATAACATTCTGGAATATCATATACTATGGATAGAAAATACCTTGCTCATGAATATCATGGATACCTTGTAGGCCCCCAAAGATCGGCATGAATGTAATCAAGGGATCCATGTGTTCTTATTTTCTTTTGTTGAACTTCACTCTACAAGATTTTCCCAGTACACATGGTTCACAAAACTTCAGCTTTTCGACTTTGTCTCCACCAAGCAAATTTTGTTTCCCTAATTCGACCAGACCCTTTTCAGTGACATGACCTAATCTCATGTGCCAAATTTTTGTCTTCAACAAAGGTTTCGTGGATGCAACATTTGTCGAACCACTTACAACTTCATCCTCAAGGGCATACAAGTCTTGCTTCTTCACGCCTCTCAAGACTTCCTTCGACCCCTTCATGACTCTTAGGATACTTTTCTCTCCTTGGAAAATATATCCTTTCTTGTTGAATTTACCAAGAGAAATCAGATTTCTCTTCATATCAAGTATATACCTGACTTCAGTCAACAACTTTATTGACTCATCATGGAGCTTGAATCTCACTGATCCAACACCTACAATCTTATAAGCTTTGTTGTTTCCCTGGCAATACAAACCCACCGTCTTGATCACATAGATCTTCGAACAAGTCTTTGTTTTGAGTCATGTGCCAAGTGCACCCAGAATCCATAATCCACTCCTTCGACGAGTTGGTGCTCGAAACCACAAGAACATCATATGAGTCAAAATCCTCTTAAACAATGGATGTATTGCCATTATCCTTATCTCTATGACCTTTCAGGCGTTCAAGACACACCTTTCTTGTGTGACCATCCTTCTTACAATGATAGCATCGAATACCAGATACTTCACCACTATAAGACTTATGCTGACTTTTACCTTTCTTCTTGTCGAACTTAACATTCTTTCGCAAGAATTTTCCCTTAACGGCCAAACTCTCACCAACCGTCAAAGGTTTATGCTCCTTTCATTCGATCAAAGCCTTAGAATACAAAGTTGATTAAACTTCTTCAAAGATCAGGGACTCCCTTCCATACAAGAGAGTTTCTTTGAAGTGAGCATGTGTTCTGGGTAAAGCGCACAATAGCAACAACGTTTGACTTCATCATCGATCTTCACATCAATATTTTCAAGATCAATAATCAACTTGTTAAACTTATCCAACTGCTCAGCCAACACTTTGTCTTCAATCATCTTGAATGAACACAAAGCTTGCTTCAGGTAAAGTCGACTTACCGGCGATTTGATCATGTACAAACTTTCCGGTTTCACCCATAACCTTGATGCCGTCGTCTCCTTTGATATCTGTCGAAGAACCTTATCACCAAGGCTCAACAAGATTGCATTGTGGGATTTCTCTACCATGGTCGTCTTTTCATTTTCCGTTAACGCAAGATCCATAGCCACCACTCCATTCAGCGCTTCCAAACAACTCTGCTGAACCAGTAGGGCTTTCATCTTCAAGTGCCACAGACCGAAATCGTTCACTCCGGTGAACTTTTCAATCTCATAATTTCTTTAAGGCAGTTTCTCCATGCTCACCGCACCAATTTGTTGTGAAACACGATGCCTCTGAAACAAAGTATAACATGTTTCCTTATTAGAGGGAAGCCTTCAATAGTAGAAAAGATGATAAACAAAATTAACAACAATGATTGGTTATAATTGCTATTCTTTACTTTCTCTTAAATCAAGATTACAAGTGTTACAAGAATAACAAATAACCCTCTCACCCTAAATTTAGATTTGCAGTATGCAATGATAAGACTAGTGTGTTATTTATAATAAACCTAACATACTAAACTAATAGACTTTTTCCCAAATAGCCATTACAAGCTAACTTAAGATACAAGCTAACTTAAACAATTGGACATAACAAAAAGGCTTAATTGGAAATACTAACAACCCTAGCATTTCGACACCCACATACTAAAACACACTTCGACTACCGTATATAGGTCTTCGACACCAACATGTGAATATACTTCGACGGCATGCATAAATCCTGTTGAATCAGAAACTACTCTTCAATCCAATAGAGGTTAATCCAATATCTCACAGTTAAATAAAAATTCAAAAATACACATCAATTTAATAGTAGAGATTAAAACTATATGAATAATGATTTTGTAGAGATTAAAACATGGAATTTTTTTTTTTGCAATAACCAGGTATTAAAAAAAAATTTCACAAATAACCACGTTTCAGAAAAAATTACGCAAATAACTATGTTTCAGATGACTCCTCAAAGGAGGAGCCATCTCACTTGGCGCCTCCACCTAGGGTTTTTCCCTAGGCGCCATCTCACTTGGCGCCTCCTCTCTCTTTTAGCCAAGTGAGATGGCGCATGCACTTTAAAAGTGAGAGGAGGCGCCATCTCACTTGGCTCCTAGGGCAAAATGTTGTTTTTATAAATACTTTGTTTGTTTCTCCGTCATTTCTCACACTTTCTCGCATTGTTTTCTTATTTTTTACTCTGTTATTTGTGTCATGACATCGCCCATGATTTTTACCAGAGATGGTTACGTTATCTTCTCCGCCATGAAACCTGCGATGAAAATGAAATTCTGGCACATTCACTCCATGGAGCGTCTGAAACGGGAGTTGATGCGATGGCTAGATGGAGAGATTGTGGAGGGGGGAAATTCGAAGGATCCAGCGAAGACGAACAACAACCTCACATGCGACAGGAAGACCTAATGTATGGTTGGAGGAATTCAAAACAGACAGCGACGTAATGTTGATGATGCATGGGTCAGATGAAATTGTTTTAACAGTTGTAATTTCGTAGACGGAATATCGTGTTTTTTTCTTGTACGCGCAATATTTATTATAGCAAATACTGTTAACGAAAAACCATAATGTTTACAACATAATTAAGGAAAGATTTTATGTATTACAATTTTTATGTGGTCGAGGCAGACGCCCGATTCGGACAATTTTTGCGATTG